TCATTTGCCTATTAGATTCAGGTCCCTCTTGAGTCGTTAAGACAAACTTAAATAACATATCACTGGTTCCATGCCATGGTGTTAGCGTCATTGAGTGATAGGGTAGTTTTTTCTGCCTTGAAGAAGATGGTGATGCACTGTTTCCTCAAGAAGCCATACTTGGATCTAGTGATTTTGAATAACAGTCAACTCATCTCCAACTTCCCCTTTTTAGGAAGATCAGTGGAGGAAGTGGTTGGACCGCTATTCCAGGGGATCCTGAAGGAAGCGTATCACCATTTCATTCAAATGTTAGGCCAGGATCCAGTACTGGAGATATAGCATAGGTAGTACTTGATGACTTCTGTCTGTCAGGATGGGGATGGGTTGTCCATCCTTGTGGTCCTTGATCTCAGTGACTTTTATACCAATCATGGTATGTTTCTGGATCAGCTGCAGGGTTGGAAGGTGGGAGCAGTTATATCCTGGTGGTTCTCCTCATTTCTCAGTGACTGTTTTCAGTTGACATGTGGCAGGGGGGTGGCTAATACACTTAGTCCCTTAAGTGCGCAGTACCTCAGGGCTCTACATTCTCTTCTTCCTGAATAATATCTATAGAGACCCACATCTATCAGTTCAGGATCCACTATCACCAATATGCAAATAATGCCCATTTATACATCTTGAGCCTGAGCCAACCAAGTGATGCTGTTAATGTTCAATCTTAGAATCTAGAGGCTGTGTGGATTGGATGGAGAGAAAGAGGTTCAGGTTCAATCCTAGCATAATTAAGTGGCTGTGGATTTTTTTAAAAAAAACCTCCCCCCAATCTGAGGACTTTCTATCATTAGTCTTAGACAGAGTTGCATTTCCCACTCAAGACTGTATACAATCTGTGGGTCACCTTGGACTCACTTCTGCTGAAGAACAGGTGACAGCCATGCCCAAAAGGGCCTTTGACCAGCTATACCTGCTGTATCAGTTGTACCTGTTCCTAAGTCAGAAGGTCACTCAAGCTCTGGTCACCTTTCAGTTGGACTATTGAAAGGCAATCTATATGGGGCCAGGGTCACTCATTCCAAATAAAATAATAACTGTTACACTAACTGAAACTGAGTAATGATTGTCAGCCCATCAGTAACTAGGAATCTAGGAGGATATCTTAGTTACATACCTGCTCTCTTCCTAGGAAGTGTCAACTCATTCTGTATTATCAGTGGATCTGAAAGAGAGCCCTTCCGACCAATGAAAAATACATTTTTTTTCCCCTACAGTCCAACCTCAAGTTTGTTCCCCTCACCCAGTCCTCAACATCTTCTAAATTATATCAAGACTTGTACAACTCCAGCTGGTCTGGGATGGGAATGTAAACCTGTATATTATCTGCACACTGATACCTTATACTAACAGATGATATCTCCCAGCAATCTCAAATATATTAAACAGCATGAAGGAAAAGACTGGCTCCTGTTGCACATCTAATTAATGCTCACTGGGCTGACTCTTTTTTCCCTATCATACCAGCTAAACTGCTCATGTATGCCACTACAACAAACTACCCTCATTTCCAACCCAAGTAGGCAGTCCAGAATGCTACTATGGCCAATGGTAACTGCTGCTGCTAAGAAGTAAAACCAGAAGTATCTCAATGACTTCTAGGCTTTGACAAAGGTTATCTTCCAGAGCAATCAATACTAATTTATGCCCATATCTGAATTCAGATTGAAATTATTCAGATAGCTTTCCAGCATATTCTGCAAAGCCTCCCTATTAGTTTAACAATGCCTTTCTTAATAAAAGGGAAGGTTGGAGACGACAAGTTCAAAACAGCTAAGTTTTTTTTTTTAATCTGGCACAATAGTCTCTCTTTTAAGGTAGACAGTAAAGATCTCTCCCCAAAGAAGGATGAAACCCAACTTTTCATGATGCCCCAACAAACTAAAGGAGCCAGAAAACGTAAGAATGTTTTTTTTTTCATTTCATGGAGTTCACAGGCTAAAGAGAGTCCCAGGTAATGCTTCAAGACATTCTGCAGATTCTGTCCATGATGAGTCAGAACTACACTGAATATGAGCAATTTCATCAGCAAAATATTACATCTACAAGCCCCAGTGGCCACGTAGCAACCCTTCCTTCCTGTCTTTTTCAAAAAAAAAAAAAGCAACCTTAAACAAAGCTGATGGGCAACATGACAAAATAAGGAGAAGTATGAATGCTTTACTGTTCTTCCAGCCATGTTATAGGTTTAAAAAAAAGTTCATTCCCATGTTCAGGCAGATTACAACCCACACTGCCTCACAGACTGTTACCATATTCCATTCTAGAAGAAAGCACTGACAAATTATTGGCATACTGTTACCAAGTAATTTATAAAATTTATAATTTTATAATACAATTTTATAATACAAAAATTTATAATACAATTTATGTAAGCATCAAGTTTAATGCAAAGGAATCTTTGTTCCTTTATGTGAAGATACATATGCAGTAATAAGTAGAAAACAGATTGGATCAATTGTGTTAGTCCTTCTTAATTGCTGAGGATCTATTTGGGTAAGAGAAAACTAGGCATTATTGTCATAGCTGATACAGTTTTAGTCTCCCTCCTTCCCTCTCTCTCTCACACACAAACACACACAATCCTATGAGACAGCATTGGGCAGAGTGTAGTTATTAGACTTCATTACAGTGTTATACCAGCTACCATTGAAAGAAATGAGATTCTAAGCAGGTCTAACAATTGTTCCATGTAATTTCCAGGACACTGAGTATGGGTGGAGTATTTACAACTACGTTTCTTAGCTGCTGATAGTGTCTATAGCTTTGTGAGTAGCAAGAGATCTTGTTGAGAGCAGTAGTTATATAAGTAGAATAAAAAGTGTCTGAAGCCAATTCTTTACTATAACCTAACTTATGCTACCTAAATTATTATATTTTCTGTTTGCTGAACAAACATGTTAATTGCCTGGTGAGTGCCATAACAATCTTTAGCAAGTTCTGTTTGTAGAAAAGTAGAACAAAGACATGGATATTGAGGGAACAATGGAAGTAGTGTGATAACCTAATAATCAAGAGGAAATTCTTATCCATCATTGCCTGATTTGAATTTCATGATGAATTGGCTATTAAATAATGAAGTTGCATACATTTGATCATTAAGGGTGAAGAACTAGGTCAATTAAAATTACATGAGATGAGTTTTCCCCATTTTTTCCCCGAAACATAACCCTATAAAACTGGCAAGCTACAGAAAGTAAGTCTGATCTTTTTTTTTTATTTCAATGCTCCTAGATGTTTTGAAGCTAAACTGTCCCCTCCCTTTAATATGTTAATAGGAACACAAATTCCTGGGGGCAGGAGATATATGTGTGCATATATAAAAGACATTATTATTTAGTGCCTTTCTACAGCATTGAGAGAAGGGCAACCACCCACTTCCTTCCTTCCTTGACAAAGAGAACATAGTTTTTCTCCATCAATGTCAAGAATAGACACTGTAAATTGAGTTGTTCTAATCTCCAGACATCTATCAGCAATAGGGTGGGACTGTCTGAATTAGTATTTCTATGAAACCAGTGGCTGAACATTTCTTAAAACACTCAATGATTTCATCAGCCATTTGTTCATACTTTTTTCCCCATGGGGACCAAGTTGCTGTTTTCTCCAAGCCATCTATCTATTATACTCTGAGTAAACACAAACTATTTTTGTTAGAAAATTAAATGTAATATTAATACTGTTATACATCTATGTCTCCATAATCACTTTTATGTTAAAGGAATACTCTAGCAAAGAGGAGAAAGTAATCGCAGCACGCTAAATCTTACTTTTCTATTATTCTGAGCTTTTCAGAAGACTAAGCTATTAGCCCTATTTGAAATATGTGGAGGTTTAGCCAAGAAATTCAGCTTTGGATCTAACTTATAATATTAACTTAATTCATTTCAACTGTAGAATGATTTATCATACAGTCAGCCAATCGTTTAGCCTAGGTTTGGAGTTTTTAATCCACCTATCAAGTCCTTCCCAATGACTTGAGATAGATAGATGTTGTTTGAAAGTGTTAAAGGTATCATCACAGGATGAAAGCTGTTCCAAGTAAAGCTTCCTTTTGCAATTGATTGATGTGCGTTTTGTCAGTGCCAATACTATTACTATTAGTAAAATCTCTGCTTTCTTTGCAATAGTTTTTCAAATTCTATTTGCAAGTCCTTGTACTTGTTACTTTCTCCAGTTCTTTCTTCTTCTCGTGTCTCCATGTACTGCCATGTCCACTATGCAGACTTTGGAAAAGAAGACGTAGTCATGTTACTCTCACAACAGGCATATGATTGTATGATCAATTTTAAGCCAGGAGGCCAAATTCCAACAAAGAAAACATATTTTATGAACGCGCAGCGATGCTGGTCAGTCTGGTTAACTATGGAGTTGTTTTTATTCTAGATCTAATATTTTCAGAAATGGTACAAATAGATGACATATTTGTTCATTCTGAAAGTGTTCCCCCACCACCACTCCTGCATGTCACCGATGCCAGAAATATATTGCAAAACTTACAGGACAATAAACTCTTTGCCAAACTATAAAAATGTACTTTTGACCTGCCTCAATTGGACTATTTGGGCTACAAAAGGCAGACAAGATATATCCACTGTTCTATCTTGGCACCTTCTCCCTCCCCCATAATGTGAAAGATGTCCAGCACTTTCTGGGCTTTGCTAACTTCTATAGGAAAGTCATCCCAAATTTTGCTGACTGTGTAAAACCATTGTCCCTGCTCCTAAGATAAGGTTGCCGATTCTCTTGGTGAACCCAAGAGTAATTAACTGACAGTTGGAAACTGGATAAAAGTTGTCCAGTGTGGTTGGATCTAGTGATGGTTTCTTGAAATAGGGCAAACCAACACTTTCTTAATAAATGTAGGGAATCCACTTTTCTTATAATCTGTTCCTAATTACCCTTTCCCGTATAAAGATCCTTGCACATCCAAGGGAACCTACTATTATATCATGCAAACTTACCCGTTCTACTTGTCCTTCCTTATGTTTCATCTTGTAAACTTTGAGATTTGGCAGACATTCCTCTGTATAATTCTTCTCTTCCATTCCATGGAGAAGTATCCCATGAAATGCCAATCTGCAAGTATTTGCATGAATATCAGTGTCCAATTTTGAGCCAATTACAAGACAAAATTTAGGACAAGTAACTGGTTTTTCAAATTCAAGTAAGGCCCACTGTTGTTTTGGGAGCTGTCTTTCTTCAACTTGGCCATTTGCCTTGTTTTCTTCTGAGGACTTTGAATCATTGGAAAGATATTCCTCCTGATAAAGGTATTCCTTTTCAAAATCAAAATAATTTTCCAGAGGCTCTTTACCGAAGTCATCAGGAGTTGGGCTAAAGAACATCACTCTTCCCATAACAGTCTCATGGCCAACTGTAATATGAAACTTCACCTTGGTTTGAAGAGTCCCTCGAAAATATGGGATTTTCTTTAAAGAGATAATGGCCGCATGGATCGTCTGGAGAGATTCAGGTGTACAAATGAGACCTCGTTCCAACAGCTTTGGATCAAACTGGGTTACACAAATTCCAACCCTATCCCCTTGCATGGCATAAGTTACTGGTGTATGAAACATCTGCATCGACTTTACTTTCTTTGTCACCTATTTATGGGGGAAGTATAACAAAAAATACTGTTAGCATTTTTCTTATATTATAAAATAGTAATTTAAAATATTTCTACTCAAAGTGTAGACTTTTATAACAGTAATATATTTTTGCTGTTTTATAACATTCTCATTAATTATCCAGAAAATTTAACTTTAATTACCTAAAGGAATGCTTAATTTTTTTTATACAAGAAAATAATATCAGCCTTTATTCTTTTGAATTTAGTAACTTCCATAGAAGCCAAAATTATGCAAAAGATGAGTTTGAACCAGTATAATTAGCCCATTAATTTTTTTAAAAGGCAAATGAGTTACATAGTTTAAAATACTGTCTCTTCTGTTCATTTCCCCTACACATTTGCTGCTATTATCTCCAACTGTAAGCATTTTCTCTTTCTGATTGTTCTGTGATAGCGTATCTCAGTGTATTAAGACAATGTACACGTATTTAACACATACAGTGGTGTAAGGCATTAGTTTTTTTAAAAAAAAGTTAATGATTTCTAAAGAATAATCATTTATTTTATATACTTTGTAATCACACTTGGTCTTTTCCCTAAATCTGTCAAATAATAAAAAAAATATGTTGCATAATGCGTAAAAAATACTTTATAATCTCACTTTCATTGACTTGTAAAGAATAAACACAAATATGATTTAGTGATTTCAGGATTATTTTATGATTATGATCTATATTCTACTGTATATGATTATCGTTATCTGGTGATGATTACTTTCTGTAATATATGAGACAGTGTAACACCACTACAAAAATGAAGTTTGGTCCTAATACACTTAGAATCTTCTTAGTTATTCTATTTCAGAAACATCTTAGAATAGAAACAGTAGCAGGAAAATAAGCTTTTTAAAACTATCAAAGTTGGTTCAGCTTGATTAGGACAAACCAGTTGGTTTCATATGGTTTGAATTTTTTTTCCTTTTTTCTTTTGTTCTTACACTTTTTTTAAGACGGGGTGGGCAAAAGAGGAATTGCTATCTACTGGTAGGTCCCTAGATGATGTGCAATAAACTACAAAATTTCTGACATCCAATTATCCAGTAATAGCAAGAACTAAGGAGATTTACTTGACTAAATTATGTTGCAGGAAAGGATTCTGAAGGGGTAATGGGATTAATTGCGACAAAATTGTAAATGGAATGTATGCGAAAAGACTTATAATCTTAGTTCTGGTACCAATCACACTTCCCTCAATTGAGCATACTGCCAGAAACAAAGTTTCCTTAATTCTTAGTACTTGTTCATCCTCCTGAATCCCTATTTTGTATTCCATTTGTTGGGCAGCAGTTTAAAAAGCCTATAATCCTGAAAACTGACTACTCCAACCTTAAGAGTTATATTCATCTGTGATCAATTTCCCCTCTCTCTGTGCTAACTATTCTCTGGAGTAGCCTTTAAAACCTTTGGAGAAGGTCTGGGGACTACAGAGTCTGTAGAGGGAGGGAGGGAGGGAGGGAGGGAGGGAAGGAGAGGGGAGAGAAGGATGGAGAGAGAGGGGAAGGGGAAAAGAGAACTTAATATCATGTTCCTCCCTCTTTAGCTAATATTAGTTGCTTTTTCCGCTAGCACAATGACCACAACTGAATGCAGATTTAACTCCATATTTTTTTCATTCATTCATTACCCATGCATATTGCACTCATTTTTATAACTGAAAAATCTTTAAAAAGTGCATTTTACAGAATCTCAGAAGATTCAGTGTGTATTTTCACATTATGAAACTTTTTTCTTTTTAAAAAAATATAGATCACAACATCTGTTCCTTTCTAAAAAAAAAATTAGTCTGTCAGTTAAGCCATAAACTTAAGAGGATGTGAAATATACAAATACTATGAACAGATACAAAAATCATATCCATTAAAAATTAATCAAAAATGAACCGTGTAAGTCCTAAAACAAACACCCATCAGACTACATTTTACACTTCTAAAAGAAATTATCAGCTGAATTTATACTATTGCATTACCATAGCACAGAAATCAAATAGAAATTTAGAGAAGAATGTATTACTGACAACTAAGTGTAATACTGCTTTTAAAACTTCAATCAACTAACATACCATGCATAAAATCCTTGGCTCTGCCTTTTTCTGGTGTTCTTAGTTTTCACTATTTATAAAAAATAAAATTTAAAAACTAGATTCCCCCATCAAGTCTAAAGTAAATGATTCCAGAGCATGTCCATTTAATTTTGCATATACAGAAATATCTCTATGTGCATTAAACTATCAGAAGTCTCCACAAAAGAGAAAATAGTTGTTTTCTGAGCAACTGCCAATATTTTCTTTGGATGTTTACAATGTTTCAATATTCCTTTCAAGTAAATTAATACTTTAAAAAAGATTCGGTGTATTTTATAAAAGAAAACCAGGGGCATTCAAGAGTGGATACTGTGTACATTTGCATATCACTCCACAATGAGTGGAATGGTGTACGCAGCTTTTAAAGGCTGATTTGTCCTAAGAATTCTATGACACGAACTGAGCAATAAAACTAGTCCTGAGAAGACTGATAAAGCTTTAGGAGTTAACTTTAACATTTGGAAAACTAAGCTTCCTTGTCTCCATACTTGAGTTATATATTATCTAGCACAGTGATAGCGAACCTTTCTGGCACCGAGTGCCCTAACTGGAACGTGCGTGCATGTGCATGTGCCAGAGTGCCAGAAAACCGAAGACCAGCTAACTGGTGTGTGCATGCCTGTTTTTTGGCTGTTTTGGGGGATGGCTTCAGGCCAGTTTCCAGGCCATTTTTGCCCCCCAAAACAGCTGGAAAATGGCCTGGTTTTTTGGCTATTTTCTGGCTGTTTTTTGCCTGAATGTCCTGGAAAATGGACGTTGGTATAATTACCTTTCTATCTATGCTGCAAGAGAGACCAGGATGGGTTAGACTCCTCCCTGTAATGCCCTAGAGCTGAGTTTGCCGTATATAAAAAGCCAGCCGGCTCCCCAGCTTTAGGTGAAGACAGACTTGGAGTGTCTATGGAAGCAAAAGAATATGTTAGGAACAACCCCAGACCCCACCAGAACCGGACACAACAAGGGTGGGACTGGACTCTCTTGCAGCACAGATAGAACGGGCATTCTCAGGTAATTATACCAATGCCCATTTTCATCCACGTTGCGCCAAGAGTCCAGGATGGGACATACCAAAGCCAACATGTCCAAGGGAGGGCCAAAGTGTGTTCTGCTTATTCCGCTTGTGGAACAACCCTCTGTAGCACCTGTCTACCAAATGCCACATCCGCCAAAGCAAATGAATCCAGATGATAGTGCCGTATGAAGGGTGACAGAGACGCCCAGGTAGCTGCGATAGAGATGCCTGAGTAGACCAAGCAGCCGATGTAGCTGTGCTTCTGGTGGAGTGCGCCGTTAGGTCCCTGGGCACCGGAAAGGACAAAGTTTGGTAGGCCTTGGTAATACATGCCTTGATCCATCTACTTAAGAGGCCTTGCACCCCAGGGAATTTGGAGAAAAAGACATAAACATAGCCTTGGTTTTCCGAAATGTAGCAGTACATTTGATGTAGATGCGTCAAGCCCTTTTCACATCCAACCTATGCCACTTATGCTCCAGCTCATGGTTAGGGTGTGGGCAAAAATCTGGGAACACAATGTCTTGGGACCTATGGAACCAGGTATTGATTTTTGGAACAAAAGCAGGATCTCAACATAGGACTACCCTATTGTCATGAAAGGTACAGAGATCCTATCTAACTGAGAGTGCCGCCAGTTCTGACACTCTCCTTGTTGATGTAATGGCCACTAAAAAAAACTACTACTTAAAGGTCAAGAATTGAAGAGACACCGATCTAAGGGGTTCGAATGGTGATCCCATTAGAGCCTGCAATACCTTGGGGAGCTCCCACGTAGGGTACCTATGAACTAATGGGGGGGCAAGATTAGAGGCCCCTTTTAGGAATCTATGAACAGAAGAATGATGGGGCAGAGGCGAGAAATTTTCCCAGTGGAGAATTGATGACAGCCGCAACCTGGCGGCAGAGAGTATTAGGTGAAGCCCCTTATCTGACCCGTCCTGAAGGAATAGTAATTCGTCAGCTCCAGATGCTGAGGTGAGAACACAGTTTTCCTTCAGACACCAATTGCAGAAAACCTTCCAGGTAACACCGTAAATGCAGATTGTGGAAGGTTTACAGGAGGCCTGAATGGTGTGGATAACCCTATCAGGAAGGTTAGAGTCTCTCAGATGTTGCCACTCAAGCGCCACATAGTCAAGTGGAACCACTGAGGGTCCGGGTGTACCAAGGTTCCCTGATGAAGGGAGATCCTGTGAGCTGGGATCCTCCACAGCTGAGCAACTGACAAGTTCACCAGATTTGCAAACCAGAGTCTCCTGGACCAATGCAGTGCCAGGAGAATCAGTTCCTCCAACATCTTCCAAATGATCGCTGGAATGATCGGAAGAGGGAGAAAGGTGTAGAGGAGACCTGGGGGCCATCTGCTCCAAAGAGCATTGATCCCCTCCGCTCTCTGGTGAAGTATCTGCTCACCTGAGCATTCAGGGGAGTGGCAAAAAGGTCTACTGTGGGAGTGCAGAACCTGAGGGAAAGGTCCCTGAACAGAGAAGGGTGAAGACTCCGCTCTGAATGGTCGATAGTGCTCCAACTTAGCCAATCATCCTGGGTGTTGTCGACCCCAGAAATGTGGTCTGCCCTGATGGATAAAAGGTGCCTCTCCACCCAATGCCCCAGGGGTTTGGCCTCCCTCATCAAGGCCCTGGACCTCATTCCCCCCTGCCTATTGACCTGTGCCTTTGCGGCCACATTGTCCATCATCACCAACACATGACACCCTTCTACCCTAGTTCAGAAATGCTTGAGTGCCAGGAAGATGGCCCTGAGTTCCAGCCAGTTTATAGGGCAAGACCTGTCTGCCTGAGACCAACACCCCTGAGACATCTCGCCAGCTAGGAGGGTCCCCCAGCTCTGCAGACTGGCATCCATGGTGAGCAGGATTC